TTATCACTGTGTGGCTTTTTATTCTCCCGATAATCGTTTAGTGATCCATGAGGGCGCGTTCCGATTGTCCAATGTCGTGACGACATATAGTCATGTAGTTAGAGTCGTGGCTTGTTTGTTAAAATGAAATTGTTCACACATAGAATAACATGATTAACTGTCGTTCACTACTTTTTTACCGTTACGACAACAGACTGTCGTCGTGACAATGGGAAGAGCTAGAACTACGGTCGTCAGACGGAAAATAAAACATCACGATAAAAATGGGACGACAAATAATCGCAGCTTCAAAGGATTCCGTCGTTCAAACGACAATGCGGCTGCCGTGAACCGATACATTGCCGTCACGATCTAGTGGGAACGAGTAGACACGACAATTGTTCAACAACAAAACGTCCACGATAGATAGTCGTGATATGGGACAGGCAAGCCGCTACAGTCGTCCAAGGATAAATAAAACGTTATGACATAATGGGAACGCGCCCTTAGACTTTAATTTTTCGCGAATTGTAAATATGTGTATACATTTTTTATAATGTAGAAATTTGTATTAGTGCGTTTTTAAATTTAATTTATAATTAGATCTGGTATGTCTGCGTGTGACCAGATCTATGGTTTTATCACCTCGTGTCATTAAGTTTCTAGATTAAACAACTGTGAAGAAGAGCCGCGCAGCGTCGTCGCCGCGCAGACGCAGCGCAGCTGTCATTTGTAGGTAAATAATTTAATATGTATCTGTCAGCGGCATAGAAGTGTATTGTATCAAAATATAGATAAATAAATGATTATTCTATTGTTTGATAGTCTTTCGTATTCGGTTCGTTGTCTCAAGCCCATATTTTATAAGCAGAGGGGTGTTCATAAAAAAAACTAGTGATATTTTAGAAGTTTATTATTGTACCACTATCTGCTCCTTAGTAGCAATATGGGAAAATTTTCAGTCACTAAATAGTCATCCTCGAATATCACCGCAATGTTCAGCTCGAATTCTGAGAAGTGAGAAATAACAACAATTTGGAACAATAAAAATTGTACGAAAGCGGAATCTATAGAGCTACGACAGGGCGCAATTTGAGCGAGAACGACATAAAGCGCGAGATAACGCTATTCTCGCATAGAGATCTCGCGCTATATGTCGCTCTCGCGGAAGCCGCGCTCTATCGTGCTAGACCTACTGGTAGAATTGTAACGTGTTATATGAAATGGAGCGGAGGGAGGAGCCAAGTCGTACCAATCTTGAAATTGTGCGTGGTGGTGGTGGGGCAGGTGAAGAGGCGTGGCAGAACCATGTACAGCGGTACATCACGCGCGCGCAGCTGCTCGCCATCGCCCACCTGGATGTTCTGTATCTCCGTCGCTGGATAAAGTGCGCAATAGCATGCGTTATACAAGTGAAGCCACGCCCGCAACCACTGCGAGCGCGGCGGCATCTCACCATCTCTCGTGTAAGCGTCGGCGCTACCGCAGGTCTCGACGCGTACCAGCTGCAGCTCGATCGACTTGATAGGCACTGAGCACTCGTCCACGCGGATCTGCATTCACCAGAAAGCCGTTTATGAGCATATTTTGTGATCTAATGTTCGCAACTGTTTGAGCACTATGCACTGTGCGAATGCAGTGAAGCATCCATTAACAATCAAGTAGTGCTAACCCTACAGTACGATAGAATAAAAAAATGTTGTAGACATAGAATTAAACAAACATTAGGATTAGGTAAGTAGGTACCAAGCGGCAGCTACCTTGCCGGTGAGTGGTCTGTCGAGCGCGCAGACAGTGGAGTCGATCTCCGCGTAAATCTGGAAATGCGGCAGAAGCGCGCGCGCGCCCGCGGCGCCGCCCGCGCGGATGCTGGTCGGCGAGATCTCGCAGCGCACGGGCTTCGGCGGCGGCGGTTCTTGCTGAACGCAGACAGGGTCTCCACTCAATTATCAACATTTGTTATTCCGCCAATTAATTAAAGCAATAAGACTTGCATGTCGATACTGCACGAAGAACTGGCAGCTGGTGTTGAGCGGCTTGTTGAGAAAGGAGCGCTTCATGTTGGCCCGTAGTGCGTACATAATATTGACGAAAACGCCATGGTAGGACTCGAGCAGTGCCGGTCCCCCCGCGGCGGAAGTCCGAGCGCGCAGCGGCATCTCGAACGGGATTTCCGTGACACCCACAGGGATCTTACCTGGCGCCGCCAGCTCCACACTCGTCTGCACCAGGTTTATTGGCTGCACAGTTTATGGCAATGGTTATTTAAAGGAACTACATTCATGTGAAAATTAACTAACACCCTCGTTACTACATTAGTAATTTAATTTGTTAGTGATATTATATTATGGTATATTATATGTGGCAAGTAATGGGCACAAATTCTATGACTATACTACTCCTGCCAACTATCTAGTGACTATGTTATTTGTTATTGGTATTCATTACTAACAGGATCACTTTGTTCTCTTTTCGTAAGCAGCGAGTTTAGTCGAGACTTAAGGTCCGTAGGCACAATGTCTGGCAGAGTAGCCACCAACTTTGTACCGTGTTCCTAGAACCAAACTACATTGCCGATTGTACTGAATAGACCAATACTACTTATACAGGGTGTCCGGTAAAGAATGGACAAGCCTGAAATTATAATGACCTTATTATGACCGTTCAAAAAAATATAAAGAAAAATATATCCCATGTAGTACCTAAGATATATGTATATATTTTTCTTGAAATTTAATTATTTTCACCTTATTTTACGTTTTTGCACACCACGACTACAAGTTAATCAATTCCTTCGGTTTTTTAGTGTCATAATATTCTACATTAACTGTGCTAATAGATAGGCAGTAAATAGTATGACTAACAATGGCACTTAAATTTAAAAAAAGTTTTATTTTATTTTTCAGTGCGATTTTTTTTTCACAATTTTAAGCATCTTTGATATAAAAAAAAAATTATAACCTAAGTGGCCAACTATTCTAAAATAATGTGTGTTTAAAGTAGATTTCAAAATGGTATAATTCATTATTGTATCTAATATAAATAGAAAATTATTACTATTAATGTGCAAAAGGAGTAAATTTGACTAAAAAACTAAGTTTTCAAAATCGGACCATTTTTGTCCTGAATTGAGCTTGACCATAAAGGTTCAATAAAAAAACAATATTAGAAATAAATACCACTTTATTTACAATTTGTTTACAGTAAATGTTCAAACTGTTTGCCACCGACTCTATGCAGGCTCTACATCTTCGAATAAAAGCCCTTTTGAGTAGCCGCGTATATCGTCGTTCACTTATTGCTGCAGCGGCTGCACTGGCACGGCTACGTAAGTCTTCCAACGACCTGATCGGCTTACTATACACAATTTCCTTAAGGCAGCCTCAATAAAGAAGTGGATTTAGGTCTGGTGAACGCGGAGACAATAAAATTGGCCCCAGACGGTCGACCCATCTATCTGGGTATGTTCTATTCAAATATGCTCGAACAGGGACCGCATAGTGCGCAGGACAGCCGTCATTTTGTAACCAACGGGATTCCCTCAGCTTCTCAGGCACATCTTCCATTAAATTAAGCAGATCATTCTGAGGGAACTCCAAATAACTTTGACCAGTTAGGTTCCCCGGTAGTTCAAATGGCCCTATTACTTTTCCATTTAATATTCCCTATATTAAATGTTACAAGGGTTGATTCATCGCTCCATAGAATTTTGTTAAAAAATTGCGGGTCTTCCTCTATCTTACCTAGCATTTGGCGGCAAAAACGTAATCTTGATGCGTAATCTCTCGGTTGGAGAGTTTGCACGCGTGTAACGTGGTAGGGATGGAATTTATTTTTCTTTAAAATATCATGCACAGTCGATTTTCCTATTCCCGTGTGTCGTGCTATTACTCTCGTCGAGGTCGAAGGATCTTGCTCAATTCCCTCAAGCACTATCTCTTCGTTGTCACCACGAGGTGCTCTTGCAGTGCTAGTACCACCAACACCACTACCAGGCATTCTTTCTTCTGAGTAATGTGCATGGACTCTGACTGGGCGACTTTACTTTAGTATCTCGGCGCTTTTACATCCTTTTTTATGATTGAAGTAAATAAATGGTAAGTAATTTAAACTATATTTATATATTTTGTGATATAATTTAATAGATTTATTTAAAAAGTAGTGATATTTTCGAATGTGTTGGAGATACGTATTTTGATGAAATATTTGCGAGGAGTTACGTTAGGTATGTTTTGAAAAGTAACGTAATATTGTTCAGATCTTGACGTATATACAACTTCTGTTTAATAAGTTTACATGATATGACCGTTTTCCATAAATTTGTGTATTAAAACATTTTCGTATAAAGCATTTTTTTAAATAATACCTGGCATCATTTGTTATGAGGAGTTATGTATTTTTCTAATATGTTGTGTCTTAAAGTTGTACTAACATAATGTTTACAACCACGTAACTCTAAAATCTTAAAGTTTTGTTGTCTCCAAAATTAATTTATGTATAAATACAACATAGTTTAAATTAATGAAGTTATTTTTTTAATTAAATTTAATTAGTTATACTTATATTGTATTGCCGATGATATAGTTCTTATGGCTGAGACCTTGGGAGACCTAAACACAATGCTCGAAGATCTCAGTAGTGTTTCCCAAAGAGTGGGTCTTAAGATGAACATGGACAAGACGAAGATCATGTCGAATGTCCATGTCGTACCCGCTCCAGTTAAAATTGGGAGCATTACACTCGAAGTTGTTGACCATTACGTATACCTGGGGCAGACAATCCAGTTAGGTAAGTCCAACTTTGAGAAAGAGATCTCTCGTCGAATCCAGCTCGGATGGGCAGCGTTCGGGAAACTCCAAAAAATCTTTGCGTCCAAATTACCTCAATGTCTCAAGACGAAAGTCTTTGACCAGTGTGTGTTGCCAGTGATCACATATGGATCAGAAACGTGGTCCCTCACTATGGGCCTCATAAGAAGGCTCAAGGTCACTCAGCGGGCAATGGAGAGAGCGATGCTCGGTATTTCCCTGCGTGATAGAATCAGAAATGAGGAAATCCGTAGGAGAACTAAGGTAACCGACATAGCTCGAAGAATTGCTCAGCTGAAGTGGCAGTGGGCGGGGCACATAGCTAGGAGAACCGATGGCCGTTGGGGCGGAAAGGTTCTTCAATGGCGACCGCGCACCGGACGACGCTCAGTGGGTAGGCCCCCCACCAGATGGACCGACGATCTGGTGGAGGTCGCGGGAAGCCGATGGATGCGGGCAGCGCAGGACCGATCGTCGTGGAGATCGTTGGGGGAGGCCTATGCCCAGCAGTGGGCGTCGTATGGCTGAATGATGATGATGATATTGTATTTATTTAGTGATAAGTAATGAAATTGAGTAGGTACCTTTACATAGGAAATGAAACTATTTTTCCGGATTTAAATCGCGTATATTTGTTTTTTCAAACAAACCGACGTCTCGGGCCCTTTACAGGTCCCATGGTCACGGTTGACTGAGGTGGTACAGTCTTCAACCAGTTATGTCTAATATTGATACAAACCACCCTATTTTTTCACTATAGTTACAATAGTTATTAATTAAATACCTTATTTTTAATTTTACAAAGAAAACATTCCAATTTACGCTATATTACCATGGGACCTGTAAAGGGCCCGAAACGTCGGTTTGTTTGAAAAAACAAATATACGCGATTGAAATCCGGAAAAATAGTTTCATTTCCTATGCGTAACAATCGCGAAAACCTAAGAACTCGATAGGTACCTTTACAATTAAGTTATCTGTGTAATTTTTTCTTCTCTGAGTCATGTTACATTATACAAACAGATGGCTGCATGGTACCTCAAAATGATAAAGAAAACACTATAAATTGTATTAGTGGGACTCCTAAAGATATTATACTCTCACAAGATGGACTCCTTACCAAAGACGTAAATTTTTCTTCTGAGTGTTATATTAGTCCAAACATCGCAATGTTTGAAGGTATAGAAAATACTACTAACTTTGATGATATGATTGTTATGAACGTCCTCCAGAGACCTTCAATCAAGATTTAATCAGTCTAGATGACGTTAGTTCTATTTCCAAAATAAATATTTATAATGCAGCAAATACAGAAGGGCAGGAACTTATTACACTTAATCCTAATTTTGTTACCGACCAAGAAATACATCCTAATACAAGTACAATAATTGAAAATATTGATGTGCCAAATGACCTAATTATAATTACTGAGACTACAAAAGAACTCCTGGACGATACTAATCAGATTAACACGATCTCAGTCATCACTGATCCAGGAACGCAAGAGACACTTACAGCAACCACTGAGAACATTAACGAAGTTACGTTAAGCGAAGAAGTACGACAGAAACGATCTAAAAAGAGTCGACCAAGTAAGTGGAGCATAAGAATTAATCAAAAAAACAGAGAAAAAGGGAAATCTTATTTTGGGAAAAAGAAAGTAGATAATAAATGGAAATATAGCGAGCAGAAACCAGAAAGAACTATAAGAGAAAGGTGCAAATGTAAGCTGAGTTTAAAAGGAGGTATAAAGCTAGAATGTAGTAAATTATCACAAGAAGAAAGGGAGAAGATATTTGAAAAATTTGTTCTCAAGAACAAACAAATGCAATGAGTATTAGTGCTTTTTGGAGTGTTTTTGATGAACTCAAACTGTCTCCTTATAGACCTAAAAAAGATTTATGTGACCTTTGTGAGGATTTTAAAACTGGTAATGTCACAGAGGTGAAGTATCGAAATCATATAACTAAGAAAAATTCAGAACATGAGGTACTTCTATGGACCTTCAATGTGTACTCTTAAGTCCTAAATAAAATGTATCAGCTTTGTATTATAAAACGAAATTGATAGTCTACAATTTCACGATTTATGATTTGAAAAGAAATAAGGGTTATTGTTTTATTTGGAATGAGTCTGAGGGAACTCCCACAGCCAATGAATTCTCTACTATAATAATTACGATGCTGCAAAAATTCATCGTCGAAAATCTGAGCTGAAACCTAACAAAGAAATAATTATTTACAGTGATGGTTGCACCTATCAAAATCGTAATAATATACTTTCAAATGCGTTAATCAACTTCAGCATGGAGAATAAAGTTGTGGTTGTCCAGAAGTACTTGCAAAAAGAGCACACTCAGATGGAGTGTGACAGTATGCACGCTACTTGAAAGATGTTGTAGAAATAAAAAAATAAACGTTCCTGCTGACTACGCATACATCTCCAAAATTGCCTGTAAGAAGAATCCCTATGAAGTGCAATATTTATACCACCATTTTTATAAAAATAGAGAACACCCTTACCTTTTTGAAATCAATAAGACCAGACAAAAAGTCAGGGGATCCTGCCGTGACTGATATAAGAGGCTTAAGATACTTTTCTGATGGGAAAATCCAGTTCAAGCTTCGGCATGCCTCCACACATTGGCAAGATCTTCCAATCCAAACTAAGAAGATAGATTTTGTACCATTTGAGAGTATACCTCAATTGTACAATGCGCGCTTGAAAATTAAGTACGAAAAATATCAGCACCTCCAAGAACTAAAAAAAACCATGGAGAAGGATTACCATGACATTTATGACAATTTACCTCATTTTTGATTGTTTTTATAATTTTAATGTTCATGTTCCTAATAATTTTATTAATTTAGGCTGCAAGCCAGTGTTAATTGCAAGTTTTTGAGTTTATTATTTTTAGTAATTAGGTTTTCTGTTATTTATTATGAGGAGAATGTGATAATTTGAAGTTTTAATAAGTTTACTTGTAAAATAAATAATACTTCAATATAGTGTCGTAATTCTGTTTTAGAATTTGAAATTTGTTAATTTTATTTTATTTTAAGAGAGACTGATAACACAAACAAATAAATAACTTTCTAATATTTCATCGTATTTCATTATTAATTATTATTTGAACACTACGTATCACATCGCGTTTGAAATACAATCTAAAAAAATCTACATATATCCATGCATACTTCCTAAATCCTGAAGGCTTACAATTTTCAAGTGCGTAAGACCACTTTAAAAACTAGATGATTTATTGCATTATTTGGTTGAAAATGAGTACTCATACCATTGACTTACAAATAAATGTACGACGGGTCTAATACAAAAACCACGAAAAAAATGTCCCAAGTCAACCTATTTAAACGTAGTGACATGTAAAGGAATATGAAAAAGCGGAAATGTTGAATTTAAATTGTAATGTCATCGCAGTACTGTCTAATTTTGCTTGCTTCGCTGTCAGTCGAACAAACTAAGACTAAAGCGTGAATGACGCTCTGTATACGATTTCAACGCCCTATACGTTCGGACACTTTTTAGCGCGGAGCCGACGTCCATATAATTGTAAGTCAATGATTCATACAAATAAAATATTATATTGAATAAAAAAATATAATACATTGCCTTAAAAATTATACACCAGGTAGTTTTTTATCCTCCTGGAAAATTTGGATGAATCGAGTTACGGTGTCTGATAATTAAACCATTGATGCACGAATGCATATTCTTTACATTTCAGACTTAACCATTCCTTACCGGACACCCTGTATATACACGTCAGGTCTTATACACTTGCCTCTGTTAACACATTGTACTTAGACACTTTTCATTTGGAGCAACAGTATAGGTAGTTGCATAACTACACTGGCACTGTTGCTCTGGTTTACCTTAAGGTTGCTGGAGAAGGCGTCGAGGATGCCGACATTCTTAGAGCTGAACTGCAGGCTGACGGAGCCCTCCATGAGCAGCGTAAGCCCGTCATGCCGCACGTCACTGCTGCTCTCCACCACCACCACACCTGCGATCGTCTCCTGCAACATATATAAACTTTATATAATTTGCTATTATTACATTCGCCGTGTAGCTGCTTCTTGCTGATAAATACATAATATGTAACTTGTACACATTACCATTACTGAAACTTACTCCTTCATGATATACTTTACTCGCCCTCTTGAGATTGATAGTAAGACTTGCAGACATAATTTTGAAGAAAAGAAACTTGAAATAGGTAAAATATTATTGACTTCATGAAATACGTTGTATTTCCTAGTAATTGTTCACGAAATGTCCTTTTAAATGTTGTTCATGAAAGTAAACATTAAACAAGTTTTCACATACCTACCTACATACAACACACAATACAACAGCTGCTAATGTCACAAGTTAAGCACAGCGTTTAGTTTTGCATTCGAATGACCCTTGCCAGTAAGTTGGAAAACTACTACATTATGCTTTGAAAACAGCACAATAAGTTTGTAAATGGAAAACTGAACTCAAAATTTATAGGCAAAGTACATTTTTTTTTTTGTTTAAAGTAATGTTTTCTTTGAATCGGCAAACTCTAGTTACGGAAATTAACTAAACGCAAAATTGATGACCCGTGGATGATCCCTGCCTATCGAGCTGACCGTTTACCTCCAGAACTCTACTCAATGCTCAAGTCAGGACTTCAGTGTGATTTAAAGCTCTGGAAATACGAACTTAATGACAAGGACTTGAGTATGATTTCTAGTCCTTCGATTTCGACCCTTAAAGCAATTCTGAAAAAATGTTTTTACTCGTTGGAAGAATATTTCAATGATTCATTAATTCTCCTAACAACATTAATTTGTAGTGTAAGGATGTACTATATATTAATAATTTGTGTACTTTTTTTATTAATATAATTTTTAATGAAATAATAATGTAATCAATTGTAATACAAATTTAGATTTACTTAGAATCTAGAATTAACATAACTGTGCCCTTACAGGCCCATGTTTGATCTGTACTGACTAATTTAAGACTTATGTAGTAAACAGTAAATAAATGTATAAATTGTAATATAAAATCCATGTTAATAAATTGCGTAAAAGTCTAAAATATATCTTAATTGTAAGTGTAATTTGCTACACCCTTACGGGAAATCACAATGAATGCACCTACTAAAATAGTCCTAAGGTTATAGATCCACCCATCCATGTGAAATGCAAAATAAATATATAAATTAATTGAACAGGTAATTTTTCTAATCTAAACAATTGCATTTAACAGAGAATCGAGTGAAACCTAAACTAATAACAAGGCTGGATTGTAAATAACCCAGAGTTAGTTTACGATCACACAGGTGGTATTATATTCCGCACAAACCTGTCTATTCACTACTTATACGCATCAGAAAATGTGCAATGCAAATCTATAGAACATATGTATAATAATACGTCTGTACTGATTCCAAGACTGGATCGATTAATTGTAAACGACGATGGGGCACTAAATACACATTTTATTTATTTTTTTTAGAGAGGTATCGTGAAAAAATCCAATGTCCGCACATCGCTGATCCGACCCACTGTGTCGCAAAGTTAAAATAAATATATTGTACCTGCCTGTCCCCAATTACGTCAATTTTTAATGTACTTAAGTGATTTCCCGAATCCCGAACAAGTCCAGGACCTAAAAAATATTGTCGAATTGCAGTCTCCATTTTCTGTCTATGTTTCTCGAAGTTTAATAAAAAAACTCTACCTATTCCGATCCCTGGTCATAAGGTATCCTGGCTTGCCAATTATGATGTTCTAATAAAGCCTTTCCTAGTAAAAAAGCATTAGCGTCAACCTTGGTTTGGAGGTTTGACATGGTCAATACCGCAACAAGTCTTGAGTACACCATTCAGCAAATCACTCTTAGGGTTATGAACATAGTCCATAAATAGTCCCTTCTTGGAACTGACGAAATTTGCCTCCATTTTGCATGGCGCAGACTCCGCTTCACTTGAAGATTTATGTTTGGTGGCAGAGTTCCTGTCACCACTTTCTTCAGTCATAATAAAACTGCTATTTAACTTACAAAGTAAGTTCTAGAATTGATTTAAATGAAAAGAGGGACTAGAAAATGTTTTTATCAAAATATTTGAAAAAACGCGCCAATCGCTTCGTAAGTTCGCGCTCTTTTTAACCGACTTCAAAAAAAGATGGAGGTTCTCAATTCGACTATGTTTATTTTGTATGTATGTTACACGATAACTCCGCCATTTGTTTTTTTTTTATAACATCAAGTGACGGGACGAACAAGTCGTGCGCCTGATGGTAAACTAGTTGCAGTGCCACTCAGAGCTTTGAACTGCAAAGATCTGAGGGGCACTGCCACTGCGCCTGTCACCCTGAGACGTAATGACAAGTCCCATGTGCTCTGTAATTTCACAGTACCTTTACCCTTCAAAACCGGAACACAGTAATGCTGACGTTACTGCTTGGCGGCAGAAATAGGTGGCAGTACTACCTTGGACGAACTCTTTCACAAGGAGCTCTACTGCTATTTGGTAAGGTGGCGGTACTACTAGTAGTATTTGTGAACGGATTTTGACGATTCTTTTTTTCTAGGAAAGAGGGTACCTCCAAAGTGGTCCCATTTAATTTTGAAGAAAATCATCCACCTGTAAGCATGAAGATTCATTTTTATAAATAGCGCCTAAATTTTATTTTAAGGAGCAATTATTTTAATGGTTGATTTTGCTATTCTCCAATTGAAGGCGATTTTTTCTCAATATACTTTAAGTAGTGTTAGACTATGGAAACAAAGGGAGAACCAATTTTTTATTATCTTCTGTGTCAAGTTCCGTATAGTGCCGAACTAGGCGATGAATCCAGGTTTTGCGCACTTTCCGGTGACCGATTTCAATAAAACTAGGCAAATAGATGTAATTCCTCGTACTTTTGAGGTCGGTTTTTTTAGTACTCTGTACTGAGATTATTCCTACATATCTTTCTAATTTGTGTTTCTGATATTACGGTAATATTTAACACGGCTAGTGCTGGGTCTTGGAAAAATTTCCATTTTGAAAAAAAAACTCTGTTTCAGAAAAATAAATATTCTTCGGATATTTTCTAATATTTTTCCTTTATTTTTCGACATTTGACGTTGACATTTATCAAAAGTTAAAGTTACAAGAAGATATGGTGGTGGTGTAGTTGTTGGAGGTTTTTTGCTGATATGAAAACGTTTTAAATTTCGTTTTTCTATGAGTGGCTTTTATAATTCAAGTTCATTTTATTATTCACGCTAATTAAAACTTCAAAAGATATTTCTAAAATGCAGAACTAAATATGCTTTCGAAATTATATTTTTCCGGAACTATTTCCACTATTTGAAATTTTTCGGAAAATTAAATGCCCTTAAACGCCCATAGAATAGTAACTTGTAGGATGGAAAAAAGGTAGTAACAAAAAATTACTATGGCAATACAAAATGTCAAACGATAACGTGCTTTTTTGTGCATGAAAACATGGAAAAGAGAGCAAGCTTAATCGTTTAGTATAGTGTTATCTCGTTTTTGGAAACAAACATAATAAAGAGTTGAGCTAGATGAACGCAATTTTCAATCAGTTGAAAAGAAATGTCCGTGTGTAGTGGATGTACGCAAATTAACTTTATTGAAATTTACGATTTTTGTATAATTTGTTACGTTTCTAAATATTTAATCGTGTGTTTAAGTTTTTAATAGTGTTAAAATATTTTTTTTAATGCACCTTTGCATAAATCAGTATTCGTTTATTGTGTGTAAAATCAATAAAAACAGGTGATGCTGAATACACTCCGAATGGATCGATATCGGTGACTTTGTCTTTCGGTATTTATTTACACGAAAAAGGAAGCTTCCTAGGATGGAGAAGTCGGCAAGGCCACGGACAGCGCTCAACGAGTGTGTCAAGGTGGTGGTGCGGTGCCGGCCGCTCTCTGAGAAGGAAAGGAATGAAAGCTACGAGGAGGTGAGCCTCCGCTGTTTGTTTATACGCGGGTACAGGGGTGGCGCGTCGTCCCGACAACACGTTTAGGAGAGTGGAAAACACTGTGGACAATATACGTATAATGCACACTGGTGATAATAGGTACCGAAATTCCTTACTATTTATAGTGTAGTAATTCCGTAAATATTCAGCAGCTAGCAATGCTGCTACTGTTGGAACGATATTTATCTGATAATTAACTAATAGAGTAAGTAGCCAGACACCAGATTTGGCTAAGGGCTGTCGGGCTGTGATTCACCCGACCCGAGTGAGACGGCGCGCTCGCGGCTGCATCGTGTTGCGCTCCTTGCAAATTGACGCCCCTGCATCGCGGTAGCTTGTTAGCTCAACACGACTCTGTATTCCTTAATAGTTCTTTAATGAAAGTAAGCAACATCGTTTCAAGCAGATAATGTTTGTGATGGGCAACAATCCACTTAATAGAACCGATTAAGGCACCAGCTTGGTAGCTAGGTAGAGTAAAGTAACGATCTTAACAACTGGAAGGTATTTCGAATAAATTCCTGCCATAACTGACTTGAATGAACTTAAAAATAAACGCCACCATATTATTACACAGTCACCTACCGTTATAACCAAATAAGTACGATATATACATATGGTGGGATTTATTTGACATTGCAGTATTCAGTCACCCACAGCTCTCTACCCATGACACAATTTCTGTGTATAGCATGACCAGGTACGGCTAGTTACATACTTACTTACACTAGCACGTAATACAAATAATGGCGGCGATGATGCGACTCCAACCATTATCGCACTTCTCTCGATTTTGCGACTGTAGTACAGAACCTATTTCCGACACACTCTTTAGATTTCATTAGGTACCATTCTAGAGTATTTTGCATCAGTACGATTGGACTCAATCAACTATGTCGGTTTATTGTAAATGCTCAAGCAACTACAAAACCACTCGAAACCTACGACATGAAAAGTTCGTTGAGCTCGTGTCCATCTCGTGTCTGAAATTTCGACTTGCTTGATTTGGACTTGACGTCGTTAGTCATTTTAGTATTTTTTTGTTTAGCAATTGGATTATTCTAAGCTTTGTCAACTTACCTACATGAGGTATGTATATTGTATAAACTGTAAACGTACACAGCGCTATCGAAATTCGCACAAATAGTATGAGAAGATTAGATTATTAGATAGATATTTTTAATAATTATGTCATGACTTTGTAAAACTGAACGTGTTTTGTTAAATTCATTACCAGTCATCGATAACGTACAAGTAGTTGAACAAAACAAAAAAACGAACACGCGTGGCAGCTGACTGGTGCTTACCAGCAAGCGCAAGGAGGTGATCGGTAATGAGTAATGACCATACAGGGTTGGCCCATATTGCGGCGTAGAACATCTGGTCACGTTTGCAGCGAAGGTCTTCAGACCGTACCGGTTCGCCGGTGCTGCGTGCAGATCTATTCAATTATCTGTCATGTAATCGTAGCATACACTTAGCACTCCCCGATATAGTATATGTATACTATAACGACAAAGACTGTAAAAAGGCTGCAAAAGTAAGCCAAGATCAAGACATGGCTGTGTCAAGGATACACAGGACTCAGTTGGTAGCAGGAGAGCTCCTAGCGAAAGAGTTCGTCCAATAAACTACTGCTACCTTACCTATTTCAGCCGCCAAGCAATAATGTGAGCATTACTACGTTTCGGTTTGGAAGGGTAAGGGTGCTGGTGAAATTACATGCACATGGGACTTATCAAGTCAGTCCCAGGGTGACGGGCGCAGTGGCAGAAACCCTAAGATCTTTTCGATTAAAAGCTCTGAGTAGCGCTGCAACTGTGATGAATAGGCGTGTCGCTTATCACCAGGCGTACGACTTGTTCGTCCCGTCGCTTGGTATTATAAAAAAATAAGTAGGTGACTTAAAGTTCAAAAATTCGAAAATACGTGGAGCAAGACCTTAATTGCGCTTACAAGCTTAAATAAAATTAAGCGTGCTCCTAAATAGTCTCGCTTGTTTCAACATGAATAATATAATGAAACTTAGACTTATAGTTCATTATTTCCAACGATCACCTTTTGACGGCAGGAGAACATCAAGAAACACTCGTCGAGTCATTAATAAATATATATCCATTATAGAATTAAAGCAGATATTCTCTGCGTGTGCGGTAACGGTAATTTTTTGTGTGGCGTCAAATCGAATGTTTATGTAGCATTGAACCAAGCGAAAATAGGAAAACACCTTGTTAATCAACCTTCAGTTTGAATTAATGGCAGGCTGCCTTCCTGCCAAACTGCATGTTAAGTTCTTGTTGTTACTGAAAATCTGTTTTTGTTTTGTTTGTCTGATCTTTGAACTCAGACGATTGGAGTAACCACGCATTAGCACTCCATCATGCGTCCTGTTGCTGAGCACGGGCCTTGCACGGAACATGCAGGTTCCTCCACCGTCAGCGAAAGGTGTTGTTACTAAGTATTCATGCGTAACCATTCTAATTCCACGGTTTCAAGTGAGAGACTGAAGTGTTGCTACGTAGAGCTAAGTGATGGTCATTTCCATTGCTGAAGAAAAAATTATCCCAGTTGTAATTTTATTTTATGGACAATGAAATAAGATTTATGTGGGGCGGAAGGGTCATTCGCACAAGGGTCGCAGTGCAGCGAACCAGGGCGGTACTGGGGCAACGTGCTTGCCTAAATGCGCACACGCATATTCACCGATATAGTAACCGTAAACACCATAACCACATTCTCCAATGCAACGTACATTGAAAAATTGTACCAATTTGTGTTCTATGTTCAAAATCAAAATGTGGCAAAGTCAAAGTCAAAGATCATTTATTCTCTTGAAAACGTCACATTTACATTACATTACATTAAGCTACTGCTCGTTCACTACGCTGATTTCCCTGAGAAGAACGAGCAAGAAACTTTAGGGATTGCTCTTTTCAAATAAACTTAAATGCTATGGAATACACTTTGAATCAAATTTGTGTGGATTCTGGAGCCGTGTCGTCTTTCCATACATCTTTATCTAACACATGGTCTTCAATTTTGTAATATGCCTTTGAATCAAAATATTTTTAATGTAGTTTTTAAATAAATTTATAATAATAAATTTTTTCTGAGTATTTTTTCTGAGTGTTCGATCTTTGTATTAATAATTGTAACAAACTAGTGGAGTAATTTCACAAAAAATAATTGAATATCAATTCAATAAAAAATTAATTAGTAGTTTTTAAACTTAGGAAATGATAATCTTAATGTTCCGGAATCTTATTGTAAAAACGTATACAGTTCCACATAAAAGAGTACTTTACCTTGGTTCGACGAAATCGTGGTACCATGGGTTTGGAATTAGCTCTAGGTAAAACCACAAACCAAGACTTTTACTTAAATATAAGAATAGCAAACATCTAATGGTAGTATTTCCCAAAATCACTCGCAATGTTTTCCACACGATCAGACGTGACGAATTATCGATGTGCACGAATAGACGATATTATGATTTGATGTTCCAATTTATAGATGCCGAAGGTTCGAAGTGAAAAGAAATGGTACGAGCGACTGTCGGCGCCCACCAACAACGCCACAGAGAAACAAAAGTGTGATCATCCCTTGCAGGTGTGATTTGGCCAAAGGCCGGCCGACTAACAGGGTGCCCGAGCACGTACCATGGAGTGGCCAGCACATAATCATCCAACATCTGTGACCGTTTCTTTGCCGAGTCCTAATGTTTTTTGAGTTCGTTTAGGGCTTGTGAATGTTCGGATTCGGCTATGGGACATAACAGAACGGGACCATCTATATAATTATATTAGAAGCCTATAGAATAAGTAATTAATCCGGTGGTGGTGATAAGGAACCGTGGTGGCAGCAGGTGATAGGTATCGATCGCCAGGGACGATACTAGGGCCATACGGATCCATCAGGAATTCTTCATTCGTCGAACACCTAATACGTAGATATAGCGATCACACGCAATGCAAACATGCATTATTAACTGAATGGTACTAACTAATACAGTAGTTAGTTTGTCCAATTCGTCTGAGTGTTTTTTAATGTAAAATACATGATCAATCAAACGGTACGAACGGTACGAAGACAGTATGAACGGTATACAGTGCTTCTTCAGTCCGAGCTTCGGTTTTATCCGACCTAGGACAATTTCTTAGACATGTGCCTCTCAACTTTAAGTACTTCGTTATGAAATCTTAAAGTAGACAGGGCACATCACGGGCCAAAACCGGAGCACATTTTACCAACCAAGAGATCCAAAGGTGTACTTTTTTCGTAAAAACGAAATGATGATCATTACATTTTAATATACTACCTCTTTATGGTACCGCTCGCACTTCATGCGCCGTGAGTTTTGAGGGCGTTCTTTGATGCCAGTCCATCCATTGAATAATACACTAGGGTAATAACTATTAGTCTTAGTCCGTTAAGAATGTTTTGTGTACTCCGAAATACTCAACCCTATCTCTGTCTCTAATCTACCAATTAAAGGTGTCGAAACTTTGCATATAAATTCGCTTTAAAAGTAACAATGACGCTTTTCAGAAATAATTTTGGCAAAATGTCAATTTTGACCTGTTGCTTTGCAAAATGAATAAGGTTAACCAAATCACGTGATTATTCTCATTTTTTAAAGTAATCTACATTGAGCACCTGTAATATACAACCCTCACACATCGGCGCGAGGAGCAAGTGGGTAAAATATCACACACACGGTTCGATTTTTTTACATTAGTGCGATGACTGTTTTTGTACAAAGTTGTAACACAGAAATATCATTAGCAGAAGTCGATTCTTGTTGTCTGAAAAACTGTAATTTAAGTAATGATTACGTAGTGACGCCATGACACTCAGTTGGCGTAATGTAGAAAAACTAACTTTTCAGGAGAAGCAATAAATGTTTTCGTTTTCAAAATAATTTTTTTATTTCTTGACCTAACACTTTTGATGTTTAATCGAACTACTTCATTGTAACCGTTGTTAAGTTAGAATAGGAACAAATCTGTATTTTTGAAGTTAGTATCATTTACACTGCTGTAGAAGTAACATTTAGGTGTTTTTTTACACCGCAGACTATAAAACAAATATCGATTTATGGTGTAATTATCAGTTTTACATAAAATTATTGCTATTTTGGAACGTTAAGTAAGCATACAAAAATTTTAATATATCACCTGAGGTTCTACTTACGGTATATAATAGAGGAAATGGAATTATTCCTTTTTTCATACACTGATATGAGTCGAGAGCAGCAGGCGAAGCGAGTGTGGCGCGGCTGCGGCCGGCGAGTGCCAGCAGTGAATTTGTTTGCATTTCCGAACATGTTTTAAATAATTATCGGGTTTTTTGAATAACAACTTAAACTTCATTTATAATTAAGTATAGCTTTTTTTTTATAAAGTACCAAGTGACGGGACAAACGAGTCGCGCGCCTGCTGGTAGGCACCCACCTGTCCGTAGCAGTTGCAGTACCACTCGGAGCTTTAAATCGCAAAGATCTGAGGGGCACTGCCACTGCGCCCGGCTTGTCAACTTATGTCTCAGGGTGAACCCTGAGACATAAGTTGACAAGTCCCTTGTGACTGTAATTTGTAAAAGTATATGATTGTATTAAAATTATTGTTTTATTAAGAATTATGTGCATTTTAATACAAATAATTTGTTTTGTTATATTTATGTTTGTTTTATAGTCCACTAAATTAAATCCGAGGGAAAACAAAGTATAAAACATAGAATGTATTATGGCAAACGTTCTTTGTACAAAAACATCATATTCTATTCGATACATTAGTGAAACAAAATTAAATGAGAATTGGGAAATGAATTTGTCAAATGGTGTAATGAAAAAAAATCGAATCATGTTTGAGGACAAATGAAACTAAATCTGTTCAACAAAAGCGGTGAATTTTTCGGAGAAACTAAATTCTTTAAATCATGCTTCTAGTGCTAGCTTGTAAAAGGTTGTTTTGTGGTACAGGTAGTGCGCGTGTGGCCGGAGCGCGGCGCGGTGCAGGTGTGTAACCCAAAGGGGCAGGACAAGGTATTCACGTACGACGCCGCCTACGACCACTCCGCCGACACCCAGACCATCTACGACGAGATGGTGAGTATCTATTTGCAGCGGTTCATTTTGATACCAGAATAACATGTGGCACGCTGCTCAAAATATTGACCCGTTGTATTACAAAAGTAGTTTTGACAGTATAGGTATGTTCCAAAATCCCAGGGGTTGCATAATAGAAATTATAAAACAATCAACACCAGTCCATATATTTTTTCGAGGAAAATAAATTATCAGTATGTCTCCACGCGTTTCTACCGCGGAAAAATGCTTTTGTCTCGGCAGCGGCAGCGACACTAAGTGCTGCCAAAACATGAGACTGTGGAAGCCTAAAGACGTGGCCAGCGACTGCCGTTGTCCCACGACGCCTACGCCTCGCTACAGTCCAACGTTATCATGTGAAACTGAATTAGGCATTAAACAAAACATTATCAACATTATAAGTAGTTACAATTCGTCTTTATCGCATATATTGAGTTTGATTTGGCAGGTGTAGAGTTATTAACATAAGTGGGTCCCGTTCACGGTGTACGGATAAGTCCATAATCAATCAGAACGACCGCCTGGCCCACATAGGTTACGCAACGGGGCAGCTGCGCTGGCGATGGCGGTGGGTGTTACGCGATTTAACAAAAAGGCGTCCTCGGCCGCGGTTGGTTTCACTTTTCAATGCGCTATTTGTTTGTTTTGTGTAGAAACAATAGCGCCATTACCAGTGAAGTGTATTGAGTATTGCATTGAGCCACACTGAGCCGCGAGCGAAGCGGCATGTGGCGCAGGTGCAACGTGGCCGGCACTCGTTTGATCACCCTGCAATGCTTACAATTAAGTAAATCACTTCTACTACATTCTACTATTGTAGGTAGGTGTTAACGCTACAGCTTCCGCTTTACATTGAGGTAAATTCGATGCGGATGTTGCGCCGGGGCGCGCGGGCGCAGCGCTGCGAGGCATCTTTGCTTCGCCGCCGCCGCCGCAGAGTAGTAGGTACACTTCACACCTGTGACAATAGCTGTTGATGTTTACTCCTCAATGCTATTATACGCGCGACCAAGGCTGAACATCGACGAATCGGTAGTCCCACTCTGAAATATCTACTCATTAAAAAAAGTAAATAAATCGTCGGAACAAAGTATCCGCAATTCATGGCCGTCGTCCTTAGCGTTAGTGTTAATTAGTTGTATCTTTGTAACATGGGCAATATTTGTTCGAAATATAAAATATTTTATTTATATTAAATTACCCTGTGCCGGCTACGCAGCGCGTTCTACTTGGTCCTCTTACTTTTTAATTTTAATTATCTTTACAACAGGAAGCATGTCCATGTGGCAGTAGGTACTAAAAGCCTTTATCGATGTAGGTGCGTCCTTTGGTCGCGTCAGTGCTGGACGGATTCAACGGATGCGTGTTCGCGTACGGCCAAACCGGTACCGGCAAGACGCACACGATGGAGGGCGGCGAGCGCGACCCCGGAGTGATCCCGCGCGCCTTCCACCACATCTTCCAGCACATCGAGACTTCCGCCTCGTCCGACCTCACGCATCTCGTCTCCTGCTCGTACGTCGAACTCTACCTCGAAGACGTTCGCGACCTGCTCTCGAAAGAATGCAAGAAACTCACTATTAGAGGCCAGGTAATTATGTTAGCTACTAATCACCGATCAACCATGCATGCAGCAGTCATTTGACGCTTCCTGTTCCTGTGAACGTTGGTCACGATAATTTGGTCGACAACATCGTTTGGTAAGTGGTAACGAAATGCGATTATGTCACAGCAAATTTAATGCAAAACATTGCGCAAGCGCCATTTGGTGGATTTGCTAAAATCGACACAAAGAAAACCGTACCCGAGCGCGGAGTTTAGTAAACATTGTCGCAACGTGTCATAAAGGGTTTTACTCACTTTTGTGTATTTGTTCTCGCAATCACACGCCCAGAGCCAGAGCCATGACAAATGTTGTGTTTGCGGTGACATCATGGAGTACCTGTTCACCTCTAAGTTTAATAAAGACCATACGATATATCAACCACATCGAAGCATCGAATGAGAATATTTTTTTACCGTACTTGTCTCAATAGCCTTTACCTACATTATTTTTATTTGTACAGTGTTTGAGAATTGTGGCCATGGTTAAAGACGTCTCAAAGAGCCGATAAATTATCCGTCCTAATGTAGGCCGCAGAGCCGCGCGATCGCTAATTGATCAAATTCAAAATTCAAATGTTTTATTGCATACATGTTGTTAAATATAGGTCTTAAATTAGTACATACGTACTGTACGAAACATGAACCCTGTAAGGGCACAGCAATGTAAATTTTCAAGTAAATTTGAAATAAATCTAAAGTTGTATTACAATTCATTATATTTCATTTAAAATTTGATAAATTAAAACATAGAAATTGTTACAAATAGTCAAAAGTACAATTAAGTAAAATTATTAAAATATACAGATATAAAGGGTTAAAAATATAAAGATTATTACAAATTGTCAAAGTAAGAGATCAACTATTATACAAATAAATAGTGTATTTGTATAATAGTTGATTTATTATATTCTAAAATAGTTTATCTTCAAAATATTATTGAATTGTATAATAGCATTTGTCAATTAATTTTTTGTTAGTATTTTAATAAATTTGTAGTTGTTCTCTTCATTTTTTATGTCATCAGGTAATTTGTTATATATCTTAATGACCATTTCATGTGAACTAGAAGACACTAATTTTAATTTGGATGGCTGTTTGATTAAATTATTTTCAGAATCAGAATCAGAATCATGCATTGTTTGAACTGGTTAAAAAGAAGTTACATGTAGTTTGAGTACAACAGTTCATACCCATGTCGGATGTACAATGTTTTATGATTACAATTAGTCATTAAGCTCGATCAATTGAAATACAATAGAATTCAAAATGTCAACAAAGCTAAACACAGACTTAAAAAATTTAAATGTATCACGTAACTGAAAACAACTTAAACGTATAAGTCAAAATAAAATAATTAAATACATTATATAGCTATCAATGTCAACAACTTAAACACAAATTTTAAAATAAATTTTATCTGATGTACAACATCAGTTTAACAATGTTTATAACATTTATATCGTTATTATCGTATTTTTGTACCGGGCAACGGGCAGCGTCGAGATTGGTCTCCTTCTTTTAAATATAGTTCAGGGTAGTCTCTTACAAATTTGCATAGTTCTAAAACATAAATCGCCGGCAAAGTCAATATTTTCAAACGCTTAAAGTGTGATTTACAGCTTTCAGTTGTTTTTAAGTTAGCTAGGACACGCACACACTTTTTTGAATAATAAGCAAGTCTTGTGCATCCGTGCTGTTTCCCCACAAAATAACGCCATATGTCAGCCACGAGTACGCGTGACCATTATTTATTTTTTATTCATTAGGCATTGATTACTCGCGATAACACGTCAAGTGCTTGCGTCTAGTGCTGATCGCTGACATCACAACGCGTCCGTTTGCAATACAAGCCATTGTCATTGTTCCTTCCACTATCGCGTTATCTATCCCATGGTACTGCTACCTACGTCAGAGAGTTGCCGTCGATGTGTTGTCGGTTGGCGCGGCTCCAATTACTTACGGGCGTTGTTTAACTATTAGCAAGTGATGTTCGTAATTTAATTACCTATTATGTCGCCCAGCTTACGTTTTCTTTACAGTTTTCACGAGAGTCGGCTCCGACTGTCTAACGCACGTATTCCAGAACTCTACTCAATTTTCAAGTCAGGATTTGAGCAGACTTGAGTATGATTTTCAGTGCTCACTGCAATACTCAAGTCCTGACTTGAGTATTGAGTAGAGTTCTGGAATACGACCCTTAGATTATTACAGATCAAACATGAGTAACTCTAGGGCGCTAACGTGTCTGTTTCCGCGTAATGAAATTGAAAGGCAAGTTATTGAAAAAAAAAAATGAAAAAAATGCGTTATTTCGCGTGCTCGCTTTTTATTCGCTGAATTATACATAAGACAATATGTCCGCCATCTGCGTTTAATTTCACATTTGAGGAACACTTAAAAAATGTCTTCACTTCGCTTTTTGACTTTCATAGTGTTAAATATCTATTATAAATTATAAACGTTAGTTCCACGCTTTCGTCGTCGGCAAATGTCTGGCTAAATCCCAAAACGCGTAAAACATAAGTAGGCACAAATACTTTCGAGTAATAATTGTGTGGCTTGTCTGAAGCCCGCGCGCCTTGAGCGACTCGTTTCGCCGACGAGTAGACGAGCGCCCATCACAAGCCCAATTACGATTATGTCGCGTGCATCGCTACTGTGTACCGTGTAACAAGTATACTGTACTCGATTCGTAAATAATGCTGATGAATTGAGATAGCAAATAATTGTACAGAATGGATAATGTATACCTTGTACTTGTACGCGTTTCGGCACGCGTTTAATGATTTGACTCCGAAACCAACAAAGTGTATGTGTATATTAGGCATGTGATCAAATAATTATCACTAGGTACAGATTTCATGACAGGGCAATAACTTCTTTTTATTTATTTCTTGAGTGTGGCTTGTGGGAAAAAAGTGAGTGACCGTGTTTACGCCACTAGAAATTGATCGGCTGCGAAAGAGGGTAGACAGACATGCCTTCTTAAGCTGTCAAGTCAGTCGGCGCTGGTCAGTGAACCATGGAGCTTGTCACCTCTCCGAAATATCTGGATAATCGTTTAGTGGAAAACTACGAGTCTTAAACTCTAGACTTGCGATTATATGAATATCCTCTATTGTAATCGGGTCACATTCAGTAAAAAGACTCCAAAATTGCGTTACTGACCTAGCTTTCCTGTCGTTTTAGTTGTCTCCATCGTTTCCCAATATCGAAATTAGTAAAGTAAGAGTTTTGTCAAATTTGACAGAAATAGTTGGCCGCGCACTCGAAGTCTGCAATACACAATGAGTCCATTCTAGAGAGTGGATTGTGGAGCCTCCAGTCCTGGTCTTATTTCAACCTCGTTGCGGGGTGTTTTAAAAATTCACGCGACGAAAAAGGCGTTATCATGCGTGTGATGGCGGCAGGAGCTGAACGGCTTCTACATCCCGGAGATGACATCGGTGGTGTGCAAGTCTGCGGCGGAGATGGAGCGCGTGATGCGGGCCGGCAACCGGCAGCGCGCGGCGGGCCGCACGGACATGAACGAGCACTCCTCGCGCTCGCACGCCGTCTTCCTCGTCACCGTCGAGAGCGCGCACCGCGACACCAATCGCATACGGTCAGTACACTCTCTTCGCACTGCCACTGTACTGTACACAAGTTATTCGGTTTTGCACATTTTATTCTAGCACCTCGTTCAAGGTGCTAGAATAAATAGATTGTTCAACCTAATACTGAACAATCAAAATTACGCCTAAAGACCACTGAATCGTCTCGTGCATTCAAAAACCAATGCTTGATAATTAATGTTATGACTACAATTACCACCGCGCTAAATTGAGGCCGACATTCGCCGCATCATTGATGCCTTTGTTTCTTTTAATAAATAATATAAGCTACACCGAAGATTTATGTTATTTTGTTGAAAGCTACTAAATAGGCGTACACAAGTAGCATGTACATTAAAGCAATTGCTATGAATATCAAATGACCCAAATGTATGCAAGTGTTCATCGGGTGGGCGGCGGATTAGTTACTCCAATTTAAAATGACCCAACCGTCTCTTGGAGGAAATGGGCAGAGTTGAAATGAGATGAAAACACACGTCTGCGAATTGGATCACGTCTATTTTCTACCAACAACTGCGTAAATGGTGTTCTTGTGTTTTTTTATGTTCATATAACCGATAGCAGTGTTGATGTTGCCTAAAGGTGCACGTAGGCCACTAGTTGCAACAAGTTTAGTAATATTGCAGTAATATTGGGGTTTCCAGTTTTCATTAAATTTTAAATAGTCATGTAGTTGTCGTCGATAGTTTTATCGATAGATTGTGAAATAAGATAAAATTTTGCCAAATTTGTCTGAATTGTGAATGTTACACAATTTTTGCATTGTCGCCTTTTGTGTTCTTATTCTGACAGTTGGTAGCCTCTTAGTATCGAAATTAATTTTTATTTATATACATTTTAACAACAACAGGCGGATTTGATAATTTATATTGCAATAAAATGAGACACTTTTGGACGGATAATGCGCCTGCCATTACATAGCAAAATGAAGTGCTGTTCATGTTTAAGGACGTGATGGCTAGCGATCACACCGCACATAACCGATACACCCTCACTCTCACCCGCACCCTCTTTACAGACACATGCATTTCGGAGCAGCAGGCCTTGCACTCTCGTTCTCCGACGGAAACAATTACTGCCAAATAAGTAATACTCGATTAAATTAAACGACTCATGATGCGAATGAAGCTCCATACTTGACATTGTTTTTTTGATTCGGTCGAGTATTACTTATTTGACAGTAGTAGTAACGTCGAACGGAGTACGGGAGTAGGCCGCCTGGAACCATTACGATTCGTTCCAGTGTGTTGGCAACATGTACTTTAGACTTTGGCTAATTTACCTTTTACTTAGCTTGGTACCTAGCTCCAGACCATTGATTGCATTTCGATTCGGGACAAATTCTGTTGCCAAAGCTGCGTTAAGCAAACAGCGATGTCAACGCTAATGCTGGTGTGCGTGTCCCTGACACAGATTCGGGCGATTAAGTCGATTGTACTAGTTGAATTTGTTTGAAACAAATACAATTTTACTTTTTAGGGAAGTAACAAGTCTCAAAGGGTGGATTTCCGCCACGAATAAATTTGCATTACATTTTTTTACGCTAGTAAGGCGAACTCCTCGAAAGTTTATTTGTTTTCGTTGTGGCCTTCCGCGGCCGAACAATGTAGATGGTTGTAGCAGCAGTAGACGTAGTTGTGAATGTTTACGAACGCTTGCCATTTCGTCACACGAAGAGTACCGCACTATTTGCGAAATTTGTTGCGAGTATTAAGGTTATTGAAAGCACACGAAGCCCTTACCAGAGACGAAAGGCACCCGAGTGGTTGACGCGCGGCGCGGCGGCCGTGTGTGCAGATGACAGTCGATCAATACCACACGTACCTTACCTACTATATTCTGACTCCCTCTGGCGTCACCCACGGATATTTACTACTAGTTAACAAGAATTATGTTTGTACGGGTGTCGTCATTTGACGACATCGTGTCCTATCTATGTAGACACGCACACTCTAAAATTTACGTTCATGTGACTATGTGATAATGTTCAGTGTGTTGGCCCGAACCGGCCACCCCTCCGTACCCTTACGTAGAGATTGAGTAGCAGAACATGAATTACATAGTCTCCGCGCGCTTCATAGACAGACACCTGAACGAAGCGCTTCAGAGTGATGTCACGCAACAAACGACGATCAATACCATGCTAACCAGTGGGCATTGTTAAGGTCGCGGTCGCCGTCGCGACTGTAGTTCAGGGTCACGACACGATGCTATTTCGCTTCAGTGTGTCAGCCATTTGAATGACTCGTCAGCCTGGCCTTTTCATTTTCATGAAATTATATTAACTTTTTAACGGCTCAAGCGTGGCTTTCGGCCACAGGCGCGCGCCCGCGACCTCGCGGCCTCGAGGCACGGAGTCGGTAGAGCGCAAAGCATGCTCTTTCGCAGTCTTCAACGCGAACCAACAACTAGGTAGTTCGCGGATGACGCATGCATTCGCTCGTTTATTTACATTTATTCGCCTATCGTGTTATATGGCGACTCTCTTCTGTGAGGTTTTGATGACCTGATTGGAACGAGCGAATGAGTAGGGTAAAAACACGTTACAGAAATATGATGTTTGCTGCACTTGAACAATAATGGTCTGAAAATTTTTAAAATACAGTGAAGATTATTGCGTGTTGGCAGTTACGTTAAACAGAGATACTTATGTTTCGAAATCTACACGCTAGTACAGTACAATTGCTACGACGCAATTTTGTTGTAATGCAACCTCGGCCGGCATCAGACGATGAGCATTCAGGTTTCCCCGCTCTGTCTACATCGGCGCCGGCGCAAGCTTCGCTGACCAAACACGTATTTTACTGTTTTGTAATTAGTTTGTTATCAATTTGGATGTCGATTAAACATCTGCAATTCTGAAATGTAGGTAAACGGTCAACCGGCAGAATAGTCGTGTAAGAAATAGGTTTTTGTAGCTAATAATCGAATAAAAGTTGTAAGAACATTACATTCATACGGAGGAATAGTGAAAAATATGAAGGATATTTTATAAAATATATTTAGAACATAAACTATAATCATGTGAAGATGTACCTATTATCGACGTTGTACGTACATAATTTATATCGCTTTTCAGCGACAGAAATTATACAATTTCTGAAAAGTACCTAGCTTTTGCTTTTTATTTGCCGATTTCAAAAGATGTCAAAAAACGACCTATTTATTCCTTTCAATAAGTTTCGTATTATTACACGAACACTAAACATTATGTATTTCAAACTTACAATGCGTTCATACTTTACTAAAGTTACATTTTTTTATTATTTGTAATCTATATAAGAAAACATAATTAAACAAATAATTACATGTACGAGTGCGATGTGTGTCGTGAAGTGCAAATTAATAAATAAAAAATTTAAAAGTGCATAATTTATCGTTCGTGTCGCAGGTATCACATTGACTTACCCAAGTTAATAAAATAAAAAACACTCGTATAAATCGCTTCGTCTCTCGCCAACAAAAACCTTAAATAACTTTTACTTAGAGAACTTGCCGAAACTTTCAAATATACAATAAGTAAAGCCGTTTAGTCGGGCAAATGTTCAGATTTTTTGTCATTAAAGTAATCTCAACCCTAAATCGCTTAATAATGATTGGATAGGAGTTTTTAATGCGAGTGAGCCATAACAGCGAGAAATCAACTTGAAACATCAATTTCAGTGTTTGTAACAAAATCCCGTGAATTCACGCAAGGCCGTCTATCAAAATAACTTGTTGCACAACGTTCTGGAATATTCTTTGACATTACCAATCAAAAATTAAGCCAATGATTAAACATTGTGTTACAATGACATAAAAATGTTGTTCTTAAATATTTTAATAATTGAAACAGCAGCAGTAGGTATTACGACTTCCGAGAGGAAGGACGTCACCTAGAGTGTGAGGGAGGCAGGTCACGGGAACAATGCCCCGGTATTACCATATCAATGGTTTTGATTGCTGCCGTAGCTGAAAGAACCGCAGATTATGAGGTCGTATGTAGGCGAGACCCAGACTTTTAGGAATTTGTTGAAACTGTGCGGTATAAGCCAAAAAAACGTCGCGAGAGATAATGAAAATACAATCAACAAATTGGAAATATTATTTCCCGAAGATATAATCTTATTCAAAGGTTTCTTATCATTCAGTTGTAAATATTAGATTTAGAATTTCTTGAAAATGGTAAACTTGCAGCTGCAAAAAATATGTGAAAGTGACATAGAATCAACAGTCCGCTTAAAATAAATACGCGCCTATATTAAGCCCGCTTCAAAAAACAAAGAAGTCAGAATACTTAAAAATAAATAATAATCTTGAACCTGAGTCCCTGGCCCTGGCCGACCGTGCCTTATGTGTTCCCTACACTCCCTCTTCGATTTAAAAAGACTTTTAGGCTATGGGAGAGGGAAGAATCTAAATTGGTACCTACCCAAAACAATAATAATGGTCAAATTAAGGAATTCCCAGGCTTCGAAGGCAAATTAAATTAAAAAAAATTATTAAATCAACACAACCCACTTTTGTTAAAAATTGGCTTTTACATCTTTTCTTTCTCGAAGAATCGTATGCTATCCTTAATAACACCTGTTTTATTCCCATGTCAATATTATTTTTCACAGGGTTTATGCATAAATTAATATGGCGGACAAATATGGACTGTATAGATTGGACGACACTCACTTAAATTTGAAGTACTTCCTTGTACAAATTACATAATATATTATCATTAATCCCTCCGTCCATGACTCATGATGATAGTGATGGACATCGATTAAGCGTCTCGTGACAGTCGACGTCCTTTTGCTTAGAGCTAGGTATAGTATAGGTATGTATATGACATCGAGTATAAAACCAGAAATAGAGACGAATTAAGGGCCATATATTCCTGGTAACACATAAGCGATACAGCTCTTATAAATATCAACTCTCGTTTGCACTGAAATATAGACAGGCCAGCTACTGACCTGTGTGTACGTCTTCGTATATTCCAAAAAATATTCTGTAGTTA